TTTTTTTTTTGAGAAGCAATATATACTAGTTGTCTTTAATGTATCACTTGTAGTTGCGGTTGTCGACCCTATGTTATCGAAAAAGAGCATCGTCACGAATGTACAGTGAGCAATTGAGTAGTGACAGATCATTCGAACACAAGTCAGTTCACTTCAGTGCTTCAAAAATTTCACTGAGCACTGCTACTAGTACCCGAGTAAAAAGCAAGACTAATGCTTTTATGGCAATCCAGCACATTCGGAAGACAACAACACCTCCAAGAATGTACTTACGCCCATCAAATATCACTCCAATCCACCATGACATGGTGGAGCCTTTGAGATAATGCATGTTTACGACGAATCGTCACTAGATCACAGGAACATACTGATATTATACGGGTAACACCCGAAGAAATACCCACACCTATACTTAAAAAACGATAAAGGATAAAGCTCGGTGTTAATTTACCCTTGAGGGATGCGCCATGCATTCGATTTCATTAAACATCGTTCGGAGGTGGTTGAATGCATATCTGGCGTTTACAATGACTCGCAGGGGCCTACTGATGTATCGAGTCAGTGCTGCTATCCTGCCAGACAAGTCTGGTGCCAATTTGCCGACCCCAGAGGGATGGAAGGCTTGGTGGGCCATAGGCGCTCGGATCGATTCCGCATGTGTGTTGCAGAGCGCCTTCGACCACTGCGCCACACCCATCTACTTTAATTCTTAATTCAACTTATAATTAAACCACTTCACCTTTAATTCAAAACTTCTTTCCTAAAAAAAATCCTAAATAGAAGAAAATCAAGTCAAATCAAACGATCATACCTCGATGAATTTGCCTTCATGAATGCTGAAGCACTAGGGATCATGGGCCTTTGCCGAAGGGACTGTCGTTCACAATCGCTAACCACCGCAGCAGTAAATGCAACCGTCCCAACCTATAACTATCTTGGAAAATTTAAACTAACTTGGCAGTCTTAACAAATGTTTACTTACACCAACAGTAAAACCTAAGGCTCTCATGAGATCCTTTAACGGACGAATGGGGATAGTGTCGGAAGATTGATGAGACACTGTAATACGTAACAAAACCAAACAGAATGTGTAGGGTTAATGATTCAAACGATATGGAAATCTTCGTAGGTACGAACTAATGAACTGGTGAAACTAAAACTGTTGTCTCACCTGGTGGTGGCTTCGACAGGTGCTTCGCACTTTGCCTATGCAACCGATTTCGCAATGCATCACGAGAGAACCGACCAGTGTAGTATGGGAGAGTGTTGCTAAGGCTTCGAAGCTGATGATGGAAGAAAACATACTGGGAAAGCTGCATGCTACGAGATCCTGAAGAGATCTACTACTTGGTGCAAAAGCAGTACGATGCAGAGCCATCTCATTATCATGGCACTGAAACAACAATGCACGAGAAACGAAAGAATCTTAGACCAAATAAATGGAGTAAGTTTGCAAAGAACCCTTTGCCATGTACCATTAATGAAAAAGTAAACAGAGTAAACAGTTAAGAACAAAACAAGGAAACAAAATGAATGGTAAAAGAGTACAAATCGAAAAAAAACCTTTAGATTCCGATTGGCCTACAAAGGCTAAAAAGGATAAACCTCTCGGTGTTGATCAATCCCTGAGGGATGGGCCACGCATTCGACTTCACTAAGCTTCGTTCTTTTCCTTTTTTTAAAGGAAGTGATTGAATGAATATCTGGCCTTTACAATGAATCACAGTGGCCTACCGATGCATCGAGCCAGCGCTGCAATCCCCCTAAATAAGTGTGGTAACAATTTGCCAACCGCAGAGAGTGGAAGGCTTCGTGAGCGTAAAGCGTGGGGTCCGATCCCATGTGTATTGTAGAGTGCCTCCGACCGCTGCGTTACTCGCGCGCCTTAAATTGGACTATACAAGAATAAATGTAAACGAATTAATAAAGAAGAATAATAACGAGGAAATGCTCTACGAAAACTGTACTGAACGATAAACTACCGCTTTTGTGAGAAATGACACAGTCGCACGAAGAAACATCGCTAAAAAGCACTGTGGCCCTGAAGAGAATTCCCTGAAAATCAGTGCAGTGCGGTATCACAAGTAAACACGTACTTTGGCAATCCTTCGATGTCTGCGTTTCGGAAGCACTTTGCTTCAGAAGACGATGGTCTACTAGGCTTAGTTCGTCCTAACCTGCGAATTCTCTAGCATTCACGAATATATGCCGTCGTTCAACTTCGTCTTTACGGGGAATCGTTCACGTCAGTATTGATTGGACGACTTGTCAAGGCGTCGCATCTGTTTCATTTCAAATGAAAGCTCTTTTCTTGCAGTAGTGGGTTGTTCGGCTTGTGCTTGTTTTCCAGTCTTTCCGTTCTTCTTCATCGAACATTTAGCTAACGTTGTAAATTTATGACTCGGTAGTTTTCGCCACTCAAATGTTAATCTGTTCGAAGTTACGGTGCTTTTTCTTGGTGTTTTGATTGTCACTGTATCGTTTTATGTTCGTTGTGGGTCTTACCTCATAGTTGTTCTCGAAGTAAGTGCTGCGATCACTTTAAATCCTTTAAGAGGTCAGGGAAGCGTATGTATCCAAATCATTCGTACGCTGGCTACCACGCGAATACCATGGGTACGTGGAATAAAGCCGCCTGTGTGCCGCAAAATTCACAGGTTTGCTTGTTCCAAATTTGATGCCCTATGTTTTTTTTTCATTCTTTCCTTTTCGGTTCATTGTTGTAAATAATAGAAATGGATAGGGGATTGGATACGCGTTTCCTTACACACTTCCTGAGGTCGCATCATATGTTGAGAAGGGATCGTTTCCTCGCCCGTATGGGACTTTGTATGCTGCAATGGAAAACGAATACTACCGACATCACTTTGCTAATCCCGGATCACAGGTGTTCTAACGTTTGGCTCTTCAAGTTTTTTGGACTGATCTTGTCGAGCTGATGTGAGGTTGATATAAGTTGTCGTTGTCGTTCCTGTTGCTGTGGATTGATAGCTGACGTTTCGGCGATTTCGTCTTCATCAGAGCTCCTTTACGAATGGAGCTGCCATGCTGAACTGATTCAAGGGTAGTATAGTGGACTTGGGGCAGTCCCACTCATAACAGCACAGCTTTGAGGGAGACGAAATCGCCGAAACGTCAGCCATCAGTCCACGGCAGCAACAGCGACAACAACAGTGGCAACAAAAACGACAAGAACAACAACAACATCGACGACAACTATACCAACATCGCATCAACTCAACAAGATCAGTTCTTACGAACATATAAATAAATATAGCGGTTATTTATGACGAGTTTTATAGAAAATCGGTCTTCTGAGTTCACTGTTGTTTGTAAATTTTAGCCAACACAGTGGTCTCAGTCAAACTTTCAACAGTATCTAGCTGCACAGCAATATCGTCGTTCAGCAGCTGTTAGTTGCTTCCTTCTTATGTAACTGATTGAGTTTCAATTCACATGCTCGCTTTCTAGGACTGTTACAACCGTCACTGCTCAAATTTGCCCAATATTCCTCGTCCTCCTCCAACTATTAAAACGGAGCCCATTGACAACACGTTTCACGGTACGTATCGGATTCTCTTCATTCTTGAGGAGAGGATTTCCGTATTTCAGCAAGCTTATCCATGTTAGAAAATCCAACGCAAAATTCCGCTGCTGCATACACGGCTAACTGGGTTAGTAGTACGTCGAGCATTCCTCCGGAAATGAGAGACGAACCTGAGGTAATGTTACTGAATTTTTAGTTCTTCGTGCTTCTTAAAGTATCTATCCTAATTTTCGCGAAATTCCAGTCTATATATTGGCCTAACTGTTCCACCTCTTGTATCTTGTGGCATTTCAGGGCGTAAGGAGTTTCATTGCGCATGTCTTATTTCAGCAGCTTTAAGCTTCTGAACTCCTTTAGCCCTCATCAACTCGGCATGGCTTATTAATGTTTCAAAACCAGAACTATCGAAAAACGGATTTCATTTTCGTGATTATTCAGAATTCTAAGTCAACTGCTGAAATATCTGACGTTTTTATTCATTTATAACCACTATGATGGCTTTTATAAAGTCGTTCAACGTTAGCGAGATGCATAATTTTATTTCTTTGCTCTTAGTTTGATGAATTTAAGGTATTTTCATGTGGCGCAGTGCTCGGAGGCGCCCTGCAACACGCATGGGATCGATCCCCCCTCCCGTGGCTCGCCACGCCTTCCATTCCTCCAGGGTCGGAAAATTGGTGCAAAACCTGTCTGGAATGATAGCAGCACTGGCTTGGTGCATGAGTAGGCCACCGCGAGTAGGCCAGATTTGTATTCATTCGGCTCCAAACGATGCTCAGTGAGGTCGAATACATCTCTTAGGGATTGATCATCGGCGAGAGCTTTATCCTTCTTTTTATCCTTAAAGTGTTTTCATGTTTTGTCGTCTCACTGACAGCAATGAAGAAGGTATCAGTGCTTTGAAGGTATCTAGTGTATTTTTTTTTGTTGCAAACAGCAAATTTTATAACACAGCTTTCTTAAATGCATCTGGCGCAACGTATGTGGTAGAGGAGCCACTGATTTATTACATGAGATGCTTAAAAAACTTTATGAAAGAAAACAAGCAGCTGTAAAATTGCATTCATATGACCGTCTGCTTTTGCAGTTGAGCTCAAGCATTGAAATGAATTCGCATTCTAGCGTCACCTGTATCACCTGTAGTCCTGTTGATCGTCGAGTGACTCGAGCGGGCGCCAGTATATCTTCCATTTTACCCTGTCGCGTGCAAAAGTAACCCAGTGGGTTCTGCTCGCTCTAGGGTCTTGTCAAGCATCATATCTTTCTTCAAGGCTCTTTGTGAAGAACTCTGACCATCTGGTTGGTGGTCTTCCTGCAGTGCTTCAAAATCCCGAGGAATCCAGTAACTAACTGCTCTTGTCCATCGGTTGTCATTCATACGCATCACGTGTTCGGCCCTCGACTGTTTGGCGTACAGAACGGCATCTTTGATTTTTGATCGTTGACGCATGTCGGAGCTTCGGATCCCATTCCTTACTTGGGTGAAACGGGATACTTCAGGCATCGTCCTTTCGACTGCGCGTTCAATAACGCTGAGTGATTTTTTATCCTGATTACGCAGCGACCAGGTTTCTGACGCATACGGTAGGGCAGGAAGTACCGTTGAGTCGAAAAGGTGGGCCCGGAGTCGGGTGTTCCTTGTTTTCTTCACTACATCCTCGATTGTGCGTTGTCGCTTGGTATTTCTTTGGGTGACCATTCTCAAATTCTGGAACTCGCTTCAAATTCGGAAGCGACACATTCTTGCTAGGAGGGTACAAATTCATTTTCCTAGGTAGTCTGGAGTGCTGAGGTTCTGGAAGTATTGGATTCCTCAACAGTGTTTTGAGCAACAGATTTGCTGAAGATTTTTACGAGCATGTGACTTTTTAAATACGGGGGTATAGTCATGGTCGATTAATGAGAGGTTCGCCGATTATAGTGGGCGAGAAAGTGTTTTATAGTTCAAATTGTTGAAGTTTTGCGTTATCATGCACAATAGGGTCTAGAGCTTTTTCGATTTACCACTAATGGATACCTTTGCTTTAATTTTTTATACATTTCTTCTCTTTCTTAAGTTGTTCTCCACTGCGATCGTTTCGCACGGTTTTAGAAAGTTATGACAGATTAATCCGGTTGTAAACCACCAAAGAATCGCTGTAGCATTTTGATGCAAATTCAGCTTTGGGAAGTGTTTCATCTCGATTCAACTACTAATCTGAACGTCTTCGGTTGTTGCACAGGACTTTGTTCCCCATCGCTTATTATAGCAGACCTTAGAAATACATTCTTTCTTGTAATCGTTGAACCCAGCTCGCATCTACTCATTTTCGCTTTCTGAGTTTTCCACCTTTGCAGTGTCTTCAAGTGACGAATACCCACTTATTCGTTAACGATAAGTTTTTCTGCGTCCTCCCTACTAGTCTTTAATGGATCTTTTTCGATCATTGCCTTGAAATAATCCTCATCGACTCCTGATAGGCGGTTACAACTTTTTTCGTCTTCAGCACATATCTGCGGCACGGAACATTGAAGCTTTTTATTACTATATGTTAGGAAGCGGTTTCCCTATCGGTTTATTCTTTGAAGTTTAGAGTTATTTCCACGCAAATATTCTGAACTTATCAAACAAAAACATCATTTTCTTTCCGCTGAGAGAGCCACTTGTACAAGGTTGAAAAGTTGCAAATTAAGTGTTGGAAGACTTGTTGGTCGGCCAGTACTAAAGCAACAACTGACGTTTGAAATGGAATGGAACACTACATATAAGTGCTTATTATATAGTGTGTCTGGAGATTTCAAAACAGCAAAAGCAGCCCTTCATTTGTGTCCACCTGGTAGTAAGCACACATGTTAGCTTCTGCTTCTTTTCCACGTTTGTTTGGAATAGTTCGTTCCTTCGTCATTTCGATCGCACCAACTCTTGGTTTGCCTTTACTTTTTGTCTTATTCTTACACGTTTGTTTTTTTCTGAAAATGTTCCCTTATATTTTCAAATACGCATGTTTTTTTTTGTTATCATAACATTAATTAAATCGCCTAGGTTTTTCCTTCTTTGCTATAGAAACGGTAAGTCGTTTGTTGCTACGGGTGGCTACGTAAAAATTCGTTTAGCTTATGAAAAGTGAAATATACCTAAATGGTAAAGTTATATCCTATATTTCATTTCAATAATACATTTACGGAGCTCGTCAAATCCTTTCAGTATTTCCTTCGTAACACGTAATATTTGCTGCAGTGTGGACTCATGTTAGCCAGAAATCGAACTTAGTAAATGAATGGGTTTTTTATTTCCTGACTTTGGATCGTTGGTTGTGTCTGCTTGGAACGCATTTATGCGCAAGTGGGTGTTTGTTGTTTGTTTCAAGTAGACTCCCTTGTCACAAAGTACTCTAAAAGTGGTGGAAGCAGTCAGGTATAGCCAGGTCAATAGAATTCATAATAAAACCATCGTTTCTTAAAGAACTTGAAACGTGAACGACTAGTGAGCAAGGTGTACGCAAAAGACTCGATGTTTCTTTAATTCAAAGTTTAGCCATAATATACATTTGTTATGGAGTCCGTATGGTCTTCATTTCTTCTTTTTATCCATTTCTTGTCTTCATCGCGTGTAAAGCAGTGGTTAGTATTGCCCTGCAATAGACATGGGATCGATTCCCCGCCCTAGACCCACTAAGCCTTCTATCCCTCTGGGGTCGGCAAATTGGCACGAGACTTGTCTGCGAGGATAACAGCACTGGCTCGATTCATCGGTAGGCTACCGCGAGTAATTCTTTGGACCAGATCTGCATTAAGTAACCTCTAACGATGCTTGGTGAAGTCGAATGCATGGCGCATCCCTCGGATTCATCAACGCCGAGAGCTTTATCCTTTATCCTTTTTTATGGTCTTCATTTGAAGCAATCTGAGGCTTAAAAATAGGAATGTCATAGAATATATTCGTATGTTGGTAGCCATCTGTTGTGATATACTACAAGTATCCTTTTATGCCTAGTGGTTGGCCTAGTAGTTCATCGTTTTTCGAACGCCTTAAAGGGTATTCGAAGGATTTTTTAACTCGGGAGAGTGTAAATGGGAGAGGAGGTGAAATCTAGGCACAAGGTGTTATACTTCCCACTGTTCCATGTACAAAATTTTTTTAGTTGAAAGACCTGTCAAAAAGGTGTTTGGGAAAAACTCGGCCGGTTAAAATATGAGACAGCAAATCATAAAATAGTTTGGAACAATGTACTCACTTTTTGTAAATCAAAATCGCTGCAATGCTATAAGCCTCCTTGGAGATCCTTCCTTTTCATCACTCTGCAACTGATCAGAAGTGTTATAATTTACTACTATAATAGTAAGTGCCTATAAAGGCAATTGTAATTTCACAGTTTCCGCAAATATATAGTCAGTACAGTAGCCAGGTCATGAATTTATTGGATCCAAAATTATCTGTATGGTTTAAAAGCGATATGGTTCTCTCCGTGGTTTAAAAAGTAATCCTAGGAGACGGAAATGTATGTTGAGTTGCCGTGTTTTTTTGAGATTTTTTCATCTCATTCAGAACAGATAAACGCCGGTATTCTAGTATTCTATATAAAGTGTTTAGTAAGTGATAAAATCGTGCTTTTGTCGTATGTTCCTTTTATATAGAAACAGCAAGGTGTCACTGAAAGTCGGGGATAGCACACGGGAAATACTGGGGGCAGCGATAGATGCCGCAATAAACATCGTTTTGTCAAAATCGCGCCGTGTTTGACTGCATCGCTCAACTGTGCTCTGTTGTAAACATGTTCACCTTAATCTGTTGGCCTAACTTTTGAATTTTTTTTGTCTCAACTGTCCTTTTTTGTTTCCTCGTTGCAATGTTACTCTTAATTTGGATTGCAAAAAATTGCGTTTGGGATGTTAACTTTTTATTTACCATCTGTTGTTATTTTTCACGGCAGGGTAGGATGTGGAATACAACCACTATGAGGCTGAGATGTTTGCAAAACTTCGACCCCAGGCCAGATCGAACTTGCAATAACATGAGGGTCCGGAAAGAGTAATCGTGGGTTCGGTCTGGTTTGGGGCTCAAGTTTTGGAATTATCTCAATCTCATAGTTATTGCCCTAGTTCGCATATAGATATACTTCTTTACAGCGGGACGACCTAGCAGCCGGTGCATCCGCAGTTTTCACACCTCCTGCCAATTCGTTTGCAGAACAGTTCAGCAATTTGTCAGTCAATGAAAAGGTATCTTCGTTTACTATTGTATGGAAGCATTAGGCTTCCGCAGCTTCCCCCACCAGTATGAGGTCTCATTAAAGTGATGACGTTTCGGTTGTACAGTGGGAGAACACTGCTGCTCTTTCGATGCAGCAGTGGCCTGATCTCGAACAAGGTAGAAATGGGGGAGGTGTTCCTGGTAGCCATGGTGAACGTCGTCGTGCAGAAGGTCGTGAACGTTATGCGCGTCACTCTCCAAAGGAGCTTACATGGGAAGAACGAATAAGGAAAGGGGCAGTACAGAAGGAACGTATTGAACAACGCGGGTAAGTTTTTGGAAACTTTGACGGTTTTTCCTATAAAGGCCAATTGTTTTTCAGTCTAGAGAGGGCTGACAAAACGGAAAGGGATGTTCGAGAAAACAATTCAGGGAGTGGGCGTCACAAGGGGCAACGTGGTGGTCGTTCTGGTGCTATTGCGAGATCCGAACGTACTGAGAGAGAGCATTTGTCTTCTCCTGTCCCAGGGGTATGGAACTTAAACAGTCCTAAATAGCTGTGCCTTTCCTTAGAATTGTCCATCTAAGTGTATTATAGGGAAGAGATATGGCTGTTTGTCGGAATCAAATGATGGTTAAAGGTCCAAGAACTCATGGAAATCGTCAGTTCGACAAAAATTATCAATTTGAAAGAAAGCCACGAATTCCGCAGTTATGCCCGCCACAGTATTATCGTCATGGTTGGAGTTTGATGTGATTTTAGTGCCACCGCTGTTTTATTGCCTTTATCGTTTGATTTTCTAAATACACAATTTTAAAGGGGTTTCGCTGATGGTGTCTCAAAACCCGTATTATAACAGTGCACCCAGTCTTATTCCCTCTATAGCTCAACAAGATCAGCGTTTCCGAAACACGTGGCTTGACGCAAACCTCGGAATGAATTATGGTTCCGTTCAAATGGTATGTCATTTATACTGATCTTATTGGTAACAGTAAACGTCAATATATTTTTAGGTTGATTACGCTGCACTTGCTCCTTGTTCTGTTCAGCGTCCTCGACCTTCTTCGCGTGGACGCAGCGGTTATCGTTTTCCGTGTAAACATATTCATAATGCCAAGGACTCTACAAAGGCGAAGTCTGAAGATCAAGACTCATCAGGAGCTGATCAGGGTGAAGAGATGCGTTTTGGCGTAGGGCAAGAAGAATCGTTGAAAGTTGATGAAGAGGATATCTGGGAATCCGAAACAGACGAGGAAAAACGGAAGCGCCATGATGCCGGTGTTTTCTGGCCGTTTGAGAGGGATCAGCTTGAGAAGGAAGGAAGTGGAAATGGCGGAAAGTTTTGTTCAAATGAAAATGAGTTGTGTAGCAATAGCGACACCACTTCCTCTATTGCAAAACCCGAAGTATCCGATACTTCTGTTTCTAGGTAGGATGTACACTCTCAGGTTTGCTGTTCTGTGAATATTAAGATGTTTTCATATTTAAACTACGAATTTCGATGAAGTGAGTTTTCAAGTGTCATTTGATATTCCTACGAATTTTCTTTTCGAAGGTTTGCGGTCTTAAGATGAGCGCTTCGATCCTGCCATTTCTTCATTTCTTTACGATCTTTATTCACATATGTTACTCAAATCGTTTGAAGCGCATGTGGAACTTCGAATTTAGCGCTGGCTGGTGGATGATTTTCTTATATATGTGTCCATTTCCGCCATTTAACTGATGTATGGCTAATGGCTCAAAACTGCATTCGTTTTGAATATACGAGAAATTATTTATTTTGGCTGTAAATTGCTTGTTTGTTTTGTTTCGATATTGATCGTTCCCATTAAGATGTTCATCACTTTCCGTAATTTATTCATGTAATGTTGTTCTGTACGCTTGGTTTTGGAATATGCGGAATCTTTATATACACTCTTCGTTTTTCTATGTTTTCACTGCTAAGTGGAGCTTTTTCTTCATTTTCCATGGTTTCTTTTTCTTTCCTTTTCCTTCCCTTTCCAGAGTTTTTACATCGAAAGGAGTTTATTCTAATGTGCATCATCCTTTTTTTTCCTGTCCATTGTGGTTGAGCTGCTGTTTTTTTCCTTTTATTCTTTGATATTCCTATGCACTTTTATTCCTGTGAGTTTTTGCTTGGTTTTTGAGTTATTATGTGTATAATTTTATTACCCTGTGAATAGAATCGGTTCATGTTGAAATGTTCTTCAATATTCTACTTGTCATTAAATCAACTGTATATTTTTATCCACGTTGTCAAATCTGTTGTTTATTAGATTACAGTTAACTGGTTGTACTGTTGTGAGATTCAAGAATGGTGTCTATAAGGTAAATATAAATATTACATATTATTTAGCCTGTAAGTTATTGATTTGTAGCGATTAGATATTTTGCAATGTTTTGATTTGAAAAGATTATTCCAATACAAATGCAGATGTCAATTATTGTCACTGGCCCACAAAATCGGCAGCGTTGGGCGACAGTCTTTCCTAGAGAGCAAATGATGTCATTCACCGAAACGGTGCACTGTGGACAGTTGTTGTCACTTAATCGTAGTGCTCTCAGGTAAGAAGTCGATTTTCGACTCAACAAAAACAGGTGTTTGACTTGTCTGCCTGGGTAATCTTACGGAGATTTATGTGAATCTGTGTGTGTTATTCGTGCTTGGTTTTTGAGCATACTTGGAAATAATTTCAAATCTTTGTAGCGGTCATGGTACTGTTAAAACGGTAGACGGGCTGTTAGCTAGCGTTTCTGGGATGAAGATGCAGTACAGTCAATTGTATGTGGTAGAAGCTCATAAATCGAAGTATGGCTCAAAAGTTCCTAATTTTAAAATACATTATCGTCTTGATCATTGATAGGTGTTTTACAGATATGTTGCCAAAGTTGGAGATGTTGTTGTTGGGCGTATTGTCCGTGTTAAAAGGGCACGATGGATGGTAATCATTCAACATCAGTTGTTATAGTTTTCCCATTTGCCTCGGAGGTTTGTTTTCAGGTAGATATTAAGTACAGGTCGCGCGCAATTTTACATCTGAACAATATCAATCTTCCTGGTGGGGAACTTAGGCGCAAGAATGAAGAGGTTAGTGTTTGGTTGAGAGTAAACTTTCGTAAAACCTTTATGTGTGTCACCCTAGGACGAAATTGCGATGAGAGAGCATCTAACTGTAGGCGATTTAGTTAGTGCAGAAGTTCAGCAAATAAGAACAAAAGGAAAAGCACTTTTACATACAAGAAATCTTAAATACGGTAAACTCGGACAGGGGATCATGGTCAGGGTGAGGACTTAGTTGTTTTTGTTATTGATGTGGTTTTTTTTAAAATTTACGCTATAATTCCAGGTTTGTCCAAGTTTGGTGAAACCTCAAAAAGCATATATGCATGAAATGTTAGATGTTGGTGTCATTATTGGCTGTAATGGCATAGTATGGATTTCGGCCGTTTTATGCTCAGAAGCTAAAGGTGGCTACTGTGAAGACATTTCTTTGGTGAGTTCATTCATTTATTCGTGCACGTAAAAGCATTCCATAGATTTTTAAAAGTGTTTCATAGGAAATTTCTTTTGAAAAACGGCTTCGTATGGTTAGATTGGCTACCTGTATCCAGATGCTTGCGAAGAATCTTATTTGCATTTACGATGTTTCCATACTGTCTGCATATACCGCTTCACTTTGTTATCAGGTTAGTGTTATACTTACCTTGTTATCACTAAAGGCATCCTTGTTTATTCGAAGTTTTCTGTTAGTTAGAAGATGGATCCGAATTTAGGTGAAAGATCTGATCCGTCCGGATATCGTGGCCTTGTTAATTCCGGAAGTAATGGACATGATAATTGCTGAAGAGAAGCGACGAATGGTGGCGAGAGATCGTGAAGAGCACAGACACAGAACAAAGAACCGTTTTTTATAGCGTATCCTAAATTTTGTTTTTTATTCATTTGTTGCTCATGTTGTTATTGTTTTAACCAATGAAATTTTGAACTCTGAAACTTGAAGAAAAAAAACTTGTACTGTAGACGTGACGTATTCCGTGCGAGGTTAGAAACCGCCGGTATTGTTCTGTATGAGAAAACATGTCTAATGCATTGCTTTTCATGAGGAGCAGGTGTTCACTTTAATCTTGTCTGGATATGACCGTTGTGAAGGAACGACCTACAACAATCATTGCGCAGTCGCGAGAGGAGTTGTGTCACAATGTCAAAAGTTATCTTGTCGAAACACTAGCGCACCTAATAAAGTATAATGGGCTTATATCCATCGGCGTTTCCGGTACGTGTAAATTCCTCTACATTATTTAAGAATGTTGCAACGTCTGTTTTTCAGGTGGCTCCATGCCCCAGCTATTTTGTGACGTTCTCAAATCTATCGATAATTTAGAATGGAAGCGTATTCGGATATTTATGGTTAGTGTATGGGTGTTAATGCAAGAGTTTGTGGTATATTTCGTCAAGAAGTAATGAATGCAATGTTACGATTATATTAATATTTTTACGCGTTTTTTTTCGTCTTACACGATCTTGTGCAGCTGCCAACACTTTCTGCATTCAGTTCCCTTCCCCTTTCTCGCATCCATATTCCACGAAGGTGTTCGCTTTTTGTGCAGTATTCGCCGGCTAATTGAGCTTTTCACCTTCATGAATCTATCAAACTCACCAGCTTTTGTTGATTAGAGAGATTGACCTGATCCCAGACAAGTTTAGTATTAATTCACCGATCCAAGGAGGGTGTGTGACTTGCAGACCCGGTCCGGCATCGAATCTTCGACCATGTGCTATTGATACCTTGGGTGCATTGAACAGCATTGCTACCACTACACTCTAACCGCTCTTGATAGTATTATTCATGTAGTGGAAATATCATAAAGCAACGAATTAAAGAGCATAAGGTAGTGTACCTATTAGTAATGCAGTCATATGAAACTTTAGAACGTTAAGATTAATAGCATCGATTGGGTGTACTCAAATTCAATTTATGAAGCCTATGCGAAGTATGAGTTTCTGTGTTTCTTTCTATTGCTTTCACGCCAAGGTTAACCTCTCTAAGTTTCATGGCCAGAGCAACTTTTTAAACTACATTGCAAGTGGTGGAGTTTTTGCTTGAGGCAATGTTGAAAATTTCATTCAAACTTAAACTAAAACAGAATCCATTAGCTCTTCCATGTTGGATGAGCCTTTCTAAAGTAATCATGCACTTTTCATACACTTGGCTATAATGTTTGCGTTAATCTCTGTCTTCTTTTTTGCAGACTAAGACGGCCGTATTTCAATTCTATCAATGGGACGTTTGTAGTACGTTGCGGTGAAATTCTAGACCCATGAAAAAAGTAGCATTTTGGAATAGGTTTGGTATCATATCAGTTGGTAAAATAAAAATAGAATAAAATTATCTGACCATCTATTCCCTTATGTATTTTTGGTGATTCAAATAGCCGTCATTGAAATCTCCTTCCTTTTTTTTTTTTTAGAAATCATTAGGTTCTATTTGCTAGAGCGACACCATGAGCAGCCAATCTTTGTGAATGGTCTTCGTTAAATTTGATCATAGTGAATTCGACGGTTTTGTCGTCTGAGGTTTGTGGGCTCAGTGAACCATTGTTCAGCGGTTGTCGTTTAGAGGTATGATCTGTTCGGTTCTCCAGGCTTCTGATTCAGTCGTTTACGGCTGGAACATTTGAAGATATTCGATCTACTTGCCATGAATTGGGTATCAGTAAAAATATTTGATGTTCTAAGAACAAAATCACCAATAAAACAAGAATAGCGACGGCGAACGACTGTGGTTCGTGTGTTGTCGTGCTTCAGTTTTCGCACGGCAGGCACAGAACATTTTTACGATGTGTCGTCGTACTTCATTACATTGAGTGCTAACGTAGCTTAGTGGTTAGTCTTGCCATGCAATACACATGGGTTCGATTTCGCCTCCAAGACTCACCAAGCCTTCCATCCCTCCAGTGCCGCCATATTCGTAGCACATCCGTTTGGGAGGATAGCGGCGCTGACTCGACACATCGGTAGGGCCACCGTCTATTATTGTATAGGCCAAGTATGCACTTGATCCCCTCTAACGATGCTTGATGATGTTGAATGCCTGGCGCATCCTTCAGGGATTGGTTGACGTCGAGAGATTTATCTTCTTTTTTTGTTGTCATATTACTATATGCTTCTCTTGCAATGATGATGATGTCGATTATGTTTCCATTGTGGTGGTAATGATGACGTTTAGAAAAGAATTTTTAAGTTGTGGGTAACTTGGAATGGTTTTCAACGTCATAATAAACTATGGTAGCCTGTCACCAACTTTCAAAACTGTACTGTCCCGCGTACCAAAAAACGTTTTCGATTGTCGTAAACGGCGTGTGAAGCGATACACTGTTGTTTCTATCAGTTTAGTATCTTCGAAGAGATCTTCCGTGTTGTTTCATCTGGTCTAAAACAGAACCTTTTCTGGTAGGATGCATTGTAAAGGCATATATTTACCATAGTCCTGCAAATCTTGGAAATATAGAAAGGTGTCGAGATTTATGCAGCCTCTCTTCATCCTTGTCAACACTACTACATGGGGATTATTAGATCTGAGTGGGATGTGTTCTTCTTTCTTACCATTTATATAGAGACCCTCGTGTGGTTCCACACTTTTTATTGCTAGTGGTTGGTCTAATATCGAGTAGCTATGCTATGCTTTTTCCCAGATCAGAAGTAGGGTTTTCTGGACGTTATTTTGAGTACGATTTGTTGGATACAATTTTCACATGTTTAAAGACATATACTCGTACACATGAATATGACCATGCGTACATGGGAGGTAAAAGTTAGTCTGACTCATCAGTGGCAAGGAGCTTTAAGTATAACTTCGAGTTTTTCTCAGTGTTTCAGTTCATTAACTATTCGCCACTTGGGGACATTTCAAATGAGATTCTATCCAATCATTTTGAGTTTCATATGTAAAAGAGAATCGTGAGCGAAGTATACATGTCTCATGACGAATCCAGTGTGCAGGAAGCCACAATGCTGCCACTGGGAAGCCACTTCATCACAGTAGGCGGGGCTAGTGTCAATTTTTTGTCACCGGTTTGAAACGACTGCTTTGTTCAATTTTCATCTCTTATCGTAATTACATCTTAAAATACGGTCAGTTATATTTATAGACGAAATTTGTAGTTAAGAGCATTTAAATCATTTGTGCACTGACTCCTCAACGAAGTTGGTTTTTCGGCAACTGACAGTAATTTGTCGATCACAGTGGTGTTTCTGGAGTTTAAACACTATAGATAGAAGGCTTTACAGATTTATACAAGAGGTTTTGCTCTGTCGCACCTATCATGTTGACATTTTTTATATTGTCTTTCCCAATTCATGTATTTTTAGATTTAGGATCTTCAAAAAGCAGAGGTAATTTTGAATTTTTGAGTTTTGCAAGGAAAGACAGTACATATCAGTAAACATAAGCGATACATTAGGACGAGCATCGTATCATGCTGAGCAAAATCTCGCTTGTTCATTTGTTTTCGTCTTCAAATTACGAACATTAAAACAATAAAATGAAAGAAGTAATGAGTTTTAACAGAATTTTGTGGAAGTAAAACGTGGGACATTTTTAGTGCAAGCAGGATTTGTAGGCGGTAACATTTTCTATTGCAGTTGATAACATTCCCTGTGAACTGGGATATGTTGATTTAGCGTTGAAAGCTGCCATTGTTTTCTCATCCTATTATTTCTAGAGGTCGCGTCGTCATGTAAGTGTTAAATAATGCTAATTTTAAAGGTGGATGAGCGGATCGTCCCAATCAAAGATCCAGATAGCAATTATGGTCAGTATCTGGCAAACTTGCCACCTGAATGTCATCAATACGTTATCCCTATCGAAATATTCGATTCGGGTTAGTTGATTCTACTTCTAGAATTTTTCATTTCTTCTGTTGGTATCAATTTGTCTATGTTTTTTTAGCACCGAAAACTGCTCTGCAATATGAAACGACTCTTCGTGCAACACTTTGTCCTGAACAGATAGGTCGTCTACCAAGATTCGACATTCTGTTTCTTGGCATGGGGAATGATGGTCACACATGTAGCCTCTTTCCAGGTCATAGGATGCTTCAGAAGGTAGCGTTTTTCTGTGAAACATTCTTAGCTTAGCAAAACCAACGTTCAAATTAACACTGTCTTTAAATGAAGAAGTGCCCTTGTTAATCAGTAGGAGTTAAACGCTATCTACTGCCCTAAAACTCGATCTTGTCTAGAAATTGTTTAGCGAATCGTTTTTTCACACAATATATACAATTATTTGCTGTTATGTTACACCCATGATTGTACAACTCGTTTTCGTAAAAAGTATTTTGCAGAATGATCTGTTAACATGGGTAGTGGCGATTACGGATTCACCAAAGCCACCTTCTCAACGAATTTCTCTCACTCTTCCTGTTTTAAATGCTGCCAAAAATGTTGCATTTATTGTAACCGGCGAAAGTAAAGCAGCAGTGGTTAAGGTAAGCTTCGAAGTACTAAGAATCCTACAAGCGTAAAACCATCCGATATTTCTCGTTTTCAGAGTGTTCTTGATTCTGATAATCAACACCTTCCGGCTTCATTTGTACGACCATTTAGCAAAAAGCTTATCTTTTTTCTGGATAAGGATTCAGCAAGCAAGTTATAGGTTATTTACCTCTTTTTCATATTGTCCATTTTCTGAAATGTACTGTGCTCCAACTAAATATTGTTGTCTATCCATATTTCTGTCAATTTAAATGTACGCTATATTGTTTTCCTTCGTAGTGTGCAATTTTTAACAATATAAAAGGCTTCTCTTTGAATTTCAATCTGGAATGCGAAACATCAATTTTAAGTGATTTTAACCTTATATCTGCATGGGGAAAGAAAGCACTACATTTGAGAATGCCCGAACGAGAAGTGCTAAGCGGTGTCAATACTTAAAGAATTCATTACTTGCATGCTACAGTGCCCATGCTCATTTGTTGTGGTGTAATTGCTGATCAGCCACTTCTTTTGTTGAGGAATTTTCACGGCGTTTATTTTATGGGCTAAATTTCCTAGTGGTTGAAATTCTGCCAGCTATATCCTTTTATCTTATAGAATTTATCGTTTTCTCAATTTCTGTTTTTCGCTAAAGTCGTGAAATGTCATCCGTTTCGTTTAGATTTCTCGTTCTGTTTTATGGTTTGTTACCCCAATGTAGTGGCCAATAGTTGCGCAACGCTAATAGACAGGCTATTATGCTTGCTCACACGCAGCAGTGTTATTGTGCAAACATTTATAATAAAACATCCCGCTTCTTTATGTTAGTTTTCAAATTTTTCATTGACATTATTGTTGCAAAAGTGATTGAAAACGGTTGTTTGGAAGAAAGCCGATAACAATCATTCTACGTTTCTTCCTAAAAGTTACCAATCTGGGCAATTATTTGAAATGTCTAAACGCCATCGTTGGAAATAGGAAGGATTAACACTAGAAGTACATATACGTTTCTCAAGGACAACTTTCTACTAACCTCGGCAATGATAGATAATTCGTTTTTCGATATGCAGACAAGAGCTAGGTAGAATAGAATTTATTAGGGTACAACAACAGCTGATGTTTCGGATGTTTCGCCTTCTTCAGAGCCGTTTTATTCTTTGCAAGTATTCCAATGGATGGTGGAGACGACCGAGTAAAGTAATACATGAGCGAGAAATCGCCAGCTAGTTGGAATACTTCAAAGAATAAAACGGCTCTGAAGAAGGCGAAGCCGCTGAAACGTCACCTGTTATATACTAGTGAATTCTACAGTGTCAATCTCGTGTTTGCTTATCAAAGAAAAACAGTTGATTACATATACATTTCGTTAATCAGTTTAGACATTTGTCCCAAAACCTTGAGGGGAAATTAGTACGCCTTGCAGTTCTTACATACTTTACATCATTCTTTTTCTATTTTCGAACATAAGTATATCTACGTGCACATTCGTATTTTCATAAGGTTTATGAGCAACAATCCATTAGTTCCAAATTACACTAATTTGTCAAACTCCACAATACGCATTGCGCCTTTTAGTTCCTAGAAGTGGTGGCTCAGCTTCCAACATCACCCGCTTTGTCTGTTTTATGTCCAACTCCATCTCATAGTTAGCCGTTCTATGACATGGTTAATCGATTACGGCATGGAACTTTCTTTGTGTATCCGATATAAAAAGCGTATTGTTCTAGTTCATTGAATACGAGGTTTTCTTCCTTTAGTCCATTTTTGTCTGTGTATTGTGTGCTTTCGCTCAACCCAACTTGTTAGTGGCTACCACCCAAATGGCGATGCTAAACTTGTGTTTGATATCACATACTTGTTCAGTTTTCACAATTTCGAAGCATTTGTAGGATAATTGGTAATAAAAAAGCAATCACTGATGTATCAGAGGTTCTCACATATTTGCGATAGTACGCAGTGACTTGAATGTGTAGATCTCCGGAAAGTACTTCGCTTTTTATATTTGAACAAATACACCTGAGCTTGTTTGTAGTGAACCTTATTGATTGAAATGAAACCAGTATAATCTGTAGATCTTTGCCAACAAGACAAAGACAAAAGTGCTCGGATTTCACAGTGATGACACTTCTGCTTTTGGAGGCCACAAGCTCCCTTTCCTTCTTCGCTTTTTTCTGGAGGAGAGGTGATAAGCAGCGAAGTGAACGATCAAGCGGAATTTGGTTCACCAAGGCCCGACGATGACGTCCTTTAATGTGTCGTTGCTGTTTGCGGCTGCCGTGCTTCCGTTTAAAATTTCGGGATTCTGTCAGTTTTTGTAAATAGTGATTTCAACGAAATTAAACTGAAATTTCAGATACACTGGAACGCTACTCAGTGGATAGGAAAGGCTATGTATGCCACCGAAATGATAAAAATTCCTGAAAAAGTTAAAGAATCCAAATTTTCATGAGTGGGGTAGTGCTGATAAGTGCTAGGCCAATGTACGACATGCAGCTAGGAAAACGCTATTTCGACACATTTCTTATGGGATTTATATTGAAGTGATGCTGCCTCGTGCTTATATTTTTCATTGTTTCATTCCCAGTGGAAAATCGCGTACTTCTCATATGTGTACACGCGAACTGGTGCTCCACCTATTTACGTGCTTCTTTTCGCTAATTCATTGGAAGAACATTCATTAAAGGATACTGGACACTTTTATTGCATTTACTGCTGATACACACATTTAACATTCCAGTTAGACACGCCTATAGAACCGTTTCCCGACAATACCATTAGTTTCCATTTTCTGAAAGGATAACATCAGAATTTAAAGCATGCACACAAACGTCAAGGTCTTGCTGAATTCAAAGGGAAGGCCAGATATTCGGTATTGTTGTGATTTCCGTGATCCATTCATTGGCCGCAAATGGTCTACAGATTGACTCGTTACCAAAACCACTACTTTCGTAGTCGCAACGAACGCTTTTTTCTTAGTTGCACATGCAGGCTTAGAAGAAAATTTACTTACCACGAGTAGATACTCCTTTCCGTCTTTTGTTGTGATAGAATACTCATAGGTATCCGCCTTTAATTCACCTTTTCTATGGGAATGTGCTTTTCATAAAGAACGTCTCCGACAAGGTCAAATATGATCTAAAAGCATTTCTATTCATAGTCCATGGTTAGATGTAATAAGCCACTCCTCACAAGACATTACTGTGAGCTATTTACGCATAACATCATGTGTGATAAATTTTGTTTTGGAAACACAAGCAAACGTACCTTATGCTTTGTGGGATCGATCCATTCACCAACAAACTCTTTTCCCAATTCCACATCGTTGTAAAATACATCCTTTTTCGATGTAAGATTTGCGTAGTCAAAACACCCAGGCTTCCTATTCCTTTTGAACTTCTTTTTGAGCATAGCTGGCAGCGCCAGTTTACGTGTAGACCCACCATATCCTAAAAGAATAATTCGTGAGGGTTAACAAGTTGCAAGAGAAACACCATAATAATGAATGGCTCCTCAATTTACCACTTGTAGGCAATGTGTGAATCTTTTCCTAACTGCACTATACGGATTTCGACTACTACCATATTGTCGATGTAGGTAGGCCAAGCCTAGAATGCACAAGATTGAGCAAAGTGATTCTTTTGGGAACTCATCTTTAGCCTCAAAATACTCGTCGAGGTTCTCAGAATAATCGAGATCGTATTTTCCGTAAAACTTTCATGGGAACTCCTTAGAATGTATAGCAGATGCAATATTAAGAATTGTAAGGACGAATACACCGTTCGTGACGCAGGATGGAACAGAACTGTTAGACATACAGTTGGACAGTTGGAGAGACGTCGCCTATCAGGCTTGGGTCAGAGGGCGGGAGTTGGTAGATGCTCCGGCCCACCTTTCCCTCCACCTCTCCTTTGCTTTGAAATGACGTAATTTCGTCCTCAGGTCATAGCTCAACAATGCCAATGACACAGCGCCAGTACAGTGAAAGATGCAATTATTCTCACCTAATGATTTGAACATACTCCCATTGGTAGAAAACCGTAGTGGAGATAAGAAGAAGAAATAATTTATTTAAATTTAAATTACCGGTTTCATTCGTCAAAAATACTATAAGATTAATTCTTCGTATTTTTGTTGAGCAAACGCGAGGTGTTATTATTCTTTATTCACGAATGAGCTGACGTTTCGGCGGATTTCGCCTTCCTCATGTGCACATTATACTTCCATGTGATTTCTGTGCGGTTGGTCTCTACGTGACATACTTAGTGGAAACCTCATAGAAAGCGGTGAGTGTGCAAAGCTGTGTTCAATGTGATTGAAATCTTGGTTTAGAGTTTCCTTGTTTGGTTATGGAGGCGTCTGGCCGAGTAGATTGCTGTCAACTTGACCTTTCCAGGCTCTGAGGAAGGCGAAATCCGCCGAAACGTCAGCTCATTCGTGAATAAAGAATAATAACACCTCGCGTTTGCTCAACAAAAATACGAAGAATTGCTTGATCAATGCCGAGGTTAATAGAAAGTCGGTCGTGGCAGTTACTATAAGATTAGTTGAACGATGCAGTCTGTATACATTTATTGAACGACATGCCTAGATTAAAACATAGTTCTGCAAAAGTCGGATTTCTGATTACAAATGAAATTACTGTATAGCTGAAATGACATCCGTAGACATCAATTCTCTCTTCTGAACCACCGGCGACAAGTTATTCCGTTATTCTCCATAGTCTGAAATTCTTGAACCGTTTATTCGTACACAGCGTTGAAGTAGTGGTGTTTTGCCATAAGTTTTCACATAGAATATTCATTTGTAATCAACATAGATAGTGAAATGGATCAAGAAAAAAGTTGATATGAGAGGTGGTCACCTACCAGAACAAGCTTGCCCTCGGTGTCAATATTGTAGCGATACGTCTCTCCTTTATCGAGGGGATCATTAAGCCTTACATGATTTTCCGTAAGTGTATCATTGGCAAAATTGAACGTTACCTCAAGAAATTTGGACTCAGGAACTTGACGTAATTCGAAGTCGTGCTAGGCGACGACAACGCGCCAGCGAAAACACTTAGAAGGAACAGAAATATTTGGGAGATACTCACATTGTGTCGTATACCATCTAATCCATCTCCTTCGAAAGTTTCACCAAGTCTCCATCCATGGTAGAATGTATTCTTTTTTGAAGTCAGGTTTTCCAGATTATATCTAGAAGACAATATTATAATCGTAAGGCTAACGAAGGTAGTATACGACAACGGAGAATAGTAAAAAAAAAAGTGGAAGTAAAGCGACCGCTGAAGAGAACTTACCCTGAGGTTTCATTTTTGGCAATAACTTTGGTTACATTGGCGAACTGTATCATTTTCCTCAAAAACCAGTTAACACCTGTCAATGAAATAACGTTATAAAAATATAATAGCAATAGAAAAGTGAAAGAATGTGAGACAGCACCTTTGGCAGATAGGAACTCGTCGAAGTTCTCGCTTTTCTCCAGTTGGAAACGGCCAAAAAACTTTTCAGGGATCACGGTATCAGGGGAACTCATTTGTACAGAAAACACTACACAAAAAGACCAAATTATACAGCACCACATCATCAACGGGTGAGATAAGATAAGTTGCACAGCAAATTCGTTTCTGCTCAGTCTTTGTTAATTAATCATGAGACAACTGACAGATGAGTGCATTGCGAGTGTACGAACGAGAAGTGGATAAGGAAATGAGGAAAGCATTCTCCGCACGACGGAGAGCTAGAATCTGTCAATTCTTGTCACACCCTAAGTAGCTGAACTCCAATGAGTAATTGCGATAACAGAGCATTTACATAACACTGAACTTCTTAGCATTCATGAACTAGGAAAGACGCAAAACCTTCATAATAGCCATCTACTACATCGTTTCTGCTTAACACTCCGTCGTCTGTGCTCGTGGGTTTCCCGAGCACAGAGCTAGCTCATCCGACCTCTTTGACTGATCGATTGACCCATGCTGTGTGCAATTCCTACATCACAGCAATTGACGGGGTCGACTAACTGTTGCCACGTGCCAGTGTTCCACTTGAGATGTCGCTCTAACACAATGTTCTGCTGTTTTTGCTAACGCTGCTGTAGTACATGCCACCATTCTCGATATTTTTAAACGTGTCAAATCGAAGGCATCAAGGTTTATCATCCCAGTGATGACACATATTTCATTTGCCTACTTAAACACTTAGATGACCAACGTTCACGTGTGGTACGAGGTGCCAGCATTGTTTCCATTAGTTTCGTTGTGTCGTAACGGTCATCACTAAATGTAGTCAGGTTCGGGTGTGAATTCAGCTGCAACTTCAGCATACGCAAACTTCGCTCCTTAGTGAAAGTGAATCACGCTCCCGGTGCAACGTGATTTTCGTCAAAACAGGCACAAACTTGCTAGGACGTCTTCAGGTTGTTATCACAGGTAGTTGTCACCCTTTGTGGATCCGATGGATGTCCGCTGCCTTGCGACTTAAATTCTTGCAGGACTGCAGCGATTACTGTGACAGCAGCGAATCCTGCGATTAGACCCTTCAAAGGATGTAACAAATCGAATCTCATATTTTCAGTTGGTAATCTCTCATGTGTTGACCGGAAATAACGTGGTCCTATTTGGAATGTGGGTGTGCGCGTGCTGAGGTTAATAAAGAATGAAGCATAGAGCTCTCGGCGTTGATCAATCCCTGAGGGATGCGCCACGCATTCGACTTCATTAAGCATCGTTGGAGGTGATTGAATCATATATGACCTTTGCAATGACTCATGCTAGCCTATCGATGTATCGAGCCAGTGGTGCTATCCTCCTAGACAGACCTAGTACCAATCTGTCGACCCCGGAGAGATAGAAGTCTTGATGAGTCACAGGCGAGGAGATTGATCCCATGTGTGTATTGCAGGGTGCCTCCGACCACTGTGTCACACGCGCCGCCGCGCAGAGGTAGATGTATAGAAAAGTGAATCTGCAGAAAAAGATAATAGAGAAGCTGTAAAAAGAACAGAGCAAAATGAAAAGTCGAGTAACGTTCTAACAGACTTCTTGCCAGTGACGACACGTTGAATTGTTCAAATAAAACAGCGCAGACATTGTACTATTTCTACTATTTGCTGCCCTAGCATTCGCATCTACCAAAATTGAGCTGTACCCCTAAGGATAAAGTATTTAACCGTTTCAAGAGAGTCCGAACAGTAGTATAGGAAGTATGAGCATCAACAGAAGAGGCGCTCCCAGAGCAATGCTGTCGTCGACGAAAGCGAACGCAGTGACGCCAAGTGTTGCTGCGACCACCCTCCTTTCTCCAACCATGTCCCCGCAACCGATCGATCTGCATTCTTTCCTCACGGTCTCAGGCACCGCCTGCGTTCGTTCTCACCGTTCGGAGTCGACGTTCATGTAATCGCACCGAACTTCTACTGCTCAACAAATAGAAACGTAGAAAGGTAACAAATAGAAGAGTGAAGCAGTAAAACACTTCATATACTGACGGCATAGGCTTGTATGGTTCTTCATGCATGGTAATAAATTTTCTGATTTCCAAGGAAATTCATTCATTCGCTTTGGTGTTTTTTGTTGGTAGAAATTTTGTTTTATCATCAGCGCAGAACAAGCCATAGCAGCGTTGTGGAGCGTTATCAATGCTATAAGGGCGCGTGTGGCGCATTGTTCGGAGGCGCCCTGCAACACAAACATGGGATCCATCCCCGCCCCCATGGCTCACTAGGCTTTCCGTCCCTCCGGGGTCGACAAGTTTGGCACGAGACTAGTCTGGGAGGATAGTCTTTCATCCATACCTGTGCATAACCATCGGCACCGATGGCAGCGCTTGATTGCTCGACCTTGCACATTCGCCGCTCCAC